GGGGCGCCCTCACCCCCCAGAGCCGGCCCCAGGGCAGTCGCGAGGCCCCGCTCACCTGCAGGCTGAGGGGCACACATTGATTCCGTGTCTCCCTGGGGTTTTATTCCATCACCTGTGTTTATGCTGCGTCTATGAATTATAGGTTTTGGCTTAGCACCTGAAGCAGGGGGCATCATACCTGGTTCCTGGGTGTGGAAGTAGCAGGAGGACTCTCACAACTGGAGCCCGCCTGGGTCTATGTGTCTTCTAGCCGCAGACCCTCGTCCTGGGTGACACTGGCATGGCCGCATCCGTCGCTGCTTTGGGCAGAGGGACAAGGCTGAAAGCAGTGTGGGCGGGGCTGCTGACAGCTACCTGAGAAGCAGGCGTCGGTCAGGGTTGTCGGACCGAGGGCCCAGCGCTCGGTGCCAGGTGGGAAGCCAGTGTTTTGTGCTGTTGGTGTGTCCCTGCTGTCCCAGGACACCCCCACGGGGGCCCGGACATGGTCAGGGCCTTGTCAGAAAGCAGTCTGAACCCCCTGAGTTCCCACCCAGCTCAGCACCTTGCTGGCCTCTCCAGCCCCCTGCCACCTCCCCTGCCACCCACCCCCAGCACAGCCTGCCACGCCTCCACTGGGCTCCTCTGTCCCCGAAGGGGCTGACGTGAGCACTTTCCCAGTTGTCATTGGGGATACTTGGTCACTGCTGTGGCACTTCACAGGGACACGTGTGTCAGGTCCGGACACTCCTTTCCCACATCGGAAGTGGTGGCCACTTGTGACACCAGCAGCCCATGGGGGCCAAAGGCTGTCTGTCTGCTGAGCAGCCTGTCCTGAGGGGACTGATGGCCGTCTCTTCAGCCAGGAGTGTGGCCACACTCCTGCTCCCAACGGACCTCTCGTGTTGACACGTCTTAGTTCATGTTTGGGAAACAGCGTGGTGGGGGCCGCTGACCTCCTCTCACGTCACAAGGGGGAGAATCTCCATCCATAGCATTGGCCCAGGCCGATTCCTCTGAGGCAGACGTCAGACATGCCTCTACCTTTCTGCCAGTTCTGTCACCAGCAGTCCCTCCCAGGGCCTCTCTCCTTCTCAGCAGGTTCAGTAATTCATTGCAATGGCCACACACGACTCACAGACCACACTCACAGCTATGAC